AACTCATAAATTGTTCCCCCTCTATAACACTGATAGAGAGATATGCACAGTTGTTTGCTCCCCCAGGTATTAATACATACTCTGAGTAAATTACTAAATAAAAAGTGATTTTATTAAATACAGACAGTAGGATTTAAGTGGTTCCAAGTAGTAACAGACAGAACAAACTAAGTCACCAAGCAAAATAAAATAAAATGCGCAAATCTATGTCTAATCAAACTAAATACAGATAATCTCACCCTCAAAGATGCTGCAGTAAGTTTTTCTCAGACTGGACACCTTCCAGGCCTGGGCACAATTCTTTCCCCTGGTACAGCTCTTGTTCCAGCTCAGGTGATAGCTAGGGGATTCTTCATGATGGCTCCTCTCTCTTCTTTGTTCTCTTCCACCCCTTTATATATCTTTTGCATAAGGCGGGAACCCTTTGTCCCTCTGGGTTTCCACCCCCCCTCACTGGAAAAGCACCAGGTTAAAGATGGATTCCAGTTCAGGTGACATGATCACATGTCACTGCAAGACTTCATTACTCACTTGCCAGCACACACATATACAGGAAGACTCACAGGTAAACACAGTCATCTGCAGACAATGGTCCTTGTTAATGGGAGTCATCAAGATTCCAAACCATCATTAATGGCCCACACTTTACATAATTACAGTAGGCCCTCAGAGTTATGTTTTATATTTCCAGTTTTAGATACAAGAGTGGTACATTTCTACAAATAGGATGATCACACTCAGTAGATTATGAGCTTTGTAATGATACCTTACAAGAGACCTTTTGCACAAAGCATACCCCAGTTGCATTATATTCACTTATTGTCAAATTTTTCTAAAACTATCCCAGTTACATTATATTGACTTATTATCAATTTTTTATAAAACCATATAGACTGCACAACGTCACACTTTAGTAAGGAGGTTTTGCACAGGGGCAGGGAAGGCAGAAGGGAGGCTAGGCAAATCCCTCCTCCTGCCAATCTCGCTGCATTGCCTCTCCAGGGAGGATACTTCAAGCTCCCAGGCTGTAGTAGTGGTGGGGACCCACATGGGGGTTAAGGCCAGAAGATCCTCAGAGTTTGTGGGCACACTGGCCAGCCCCAGCCCCAAAACTTCCCTCTGTATTGCTGCAAACAGAGCACAGTGAAGCAGTGTTGTGTGGCATGCAGCTAGTGTGAAGATCTCCCGGCATGGGCACTCTGCAGAAACTCTAAGCACACCTCCCACGAGTAAAACCATAGCAGTAGAGCTGGGTATCTCTTGCTGTGAGGAGTTCTTGTCATGCTGTGTGGAAAAGATAAACTAATTTTTAATTGGTCCTGCTAGGTCCTGAGGAAACCAAGTCAGAGCAATGTACAGCAATCAAGTTTCTTGATAGAATTCAAGGCTTTTCCATATAGGTGACCAGATGGTGATGCGAGTCACTGTGAAAAAAAATCTAGATAGATAGTTCATCCCTGTCTCACAAGTGAAGGCCCTGAAAGCAGTGAAGGGTTCTGGACACGTAAAGCAGACTCCTGTCCTTTTAAGCTGCAGAAAGCCAGTATGGACCTAGAACATCAATGACTCTGTCAGAAAAAGTGATCTGCCAACTGCCCTGCAGCGAGTAATAATCCAGCTGGCTCTCAAAGAAAAATGCATTTGAGGTCAATTATCTCAGCAGCAATCACTCCATCTCCAATCTCTTGAGCCTGGGCAGAGTTATCAAGAGAGTGGTGGGGAACAAACTTCAGAACTTAATCACTGCCAGTATCCTAGTCTTCTTGCTATTGGGGTTCAAACCAGGATATGGCATAGGGATGGTTTTAATGTGTGATCTTCCTATGGCAATTAACAGAGCACAGACATCTATGCTGATACTGTTTATTCACATATAAGATCCAGTAGGAGTGCAAGGTGCAGCACTATGTTGGCTCTACTCATTTCTCTTAGACAAATCTCTCTGTGGCATTTTTATGTTCCCCCTTACTGTGGTATTTGAGCAGCTCACAAAAACCCTGTGAGGTTGGGAAGTACTGTTCTCCCCATTTTACAGATAGGGGGAACTGAAGTACAGAGAGGCTAGATGACTTGCCTACGGTCATGTAGGAAGTCTGTGGCAAAGCAGGGGAATTGAAGTCCCAAGTCCTAAGCAAGCACTTCAATCAGTGGCCACCTTTCCCCTCAGAGAGTCAAATCCAAGAGATTCAAAAAGGCAGTTGATCCGTTTCCCAAAGAGTTCTTGCATGCTTAGGTCTGCAAGGCTCAGTCTTTCCTCCTCTTCTTTTCAACTTGATGGGAGACCTCTAGGGGAGGTAGTGAGATGCCATAGATCCATATTACTAATGTGATGCTGAAGATAACCATTTGCACATCTGTTTCTCAGTAGATACAGGCAGTGCTAACCCCCAGATATTCCAGTGCCTGAGAGAAATAAGGACATGGGTGTATGGCAGATGACTCAGGTTCAAGAAGAGGGAGATACTTTGAGAAGCAGATATGGATATTAACCTAATTATCTACTGAGAGAATTTATCCTCAGACTGTCAAGGTGATGTGCAGTCTCTGAGTTATGTCAGTCTCATCACTGCTCCTGAGAACACAGATAGCCACAGTGTCAAGAAGTGCCTTCTAGTCAAAAACTCTTCAGAACAGGTGGCCACAGTGATTCACACATTTGTCACCTCCTGATTAGTGTTTTGCAACACACACTACCTGGGGTGAATGTGATGGCTACCTGGAAGCTCCAGCTAGTACAAATTCCCTTAGTCCACCTCCTAAGCAAGAAAGATCAACAAAAACATTTCATGTCAGTGTTCGATTGGCTCCCCATTCAACTCCAGCTCCACTTTAGAGGTCCTTAAGGAGCTAGAGTCTAACTGTTTTACAAACATCCTCTCCATCCATAAACCACTGATGCAATTGCACTCAGTGGGTAGGTGAGGGTATGGCTGAGTGATCACAGGATTCAGGATGTTCTCAGTGCAGATCCCTGGCTATGAATTTCCTTACCGCCAGAGAACAGGAAAACTCCAAGCCAGACTGACTTTACAGTTGTCTGCAAACCCTTCCCAATAATGATGATTGATGGTTGATCTGGAATTCCCCATCCCCCAAACTCTCTTTTAATATCATTTGGCAGTAGGGTGACCAGACAGCAAGTGTGAAAAATCGGGACAGGGGCTGGGGGGGGGGAGGGAGTAATAGGCACCTATATAAGACAAAGCCCCAAATATCGGGACTCTCCCTATAAAATTGGGACATCTAGTCACTCTATTTGGCAGAATAAAGGAAGGGTATAGACAATGGGGTCCTTCACAGCCAGAAAAATGTAATTTTGGATGGTGTATCTACTGGTGAGATAATGCATGATGGCTGTTTTTAAAAGGCCTGCTATAGAGAGATTAGGTATCCCTGCCCTAAGTGTGAGAGCCAGGATTAGCACTCAGGAGACCCTTGTGCCTAGCATTGAGCTCACATCACAAGAACATGCTGACTTGTACATGTTTGGGGATATAGAAATGCTTGTTAATAACTTGTTTTTGCAAGTTGGAGTTATAAAGCTGAATGAGTGACACGGCAAACATTTCTATGGCAACAGAGTGATGTCACCAACAGCATTTTGACTTTACAACTGATTTCATTTGAAGGAAAAACTTTGCAGAACATTTCAGCATTTGATATGGAAACACATAAAGTCACTGTAGTGCATGTGTGTGTGTGTTGGGGGGGTGTTCCTGTTGACTTCTGTGCGTCCTGCACCTGTACCTAAGGGCAGAATTTGTGCCAAATATACATATCCTTTTCCCCCAGAGGAGTCTGAAAGTTGTTCCTGGGAGGGTTGCAACACATTGGCGAGATGGTGTGAAGGAAGCTTTCACTGCTGCTGCCTATATGTCTGATCAGTGGGTAAACAGAGAGGTGAGATGTACAGTTCAACTGGTAGCTTTGATCCCTGAGATGTGTGGTGATGGGGGCTTATATAAGCACCTAAATAAACAGATAAATTAACTCAAAAACAAAAAATGTAAAAGTGAATATAAAATACAGGAAATATTTCCCATGGGAGGTTAGAACCCTGTTAAAAATAGCTCAGAGGTACCCACTGCCCAGTTAAACTGTAAAACAAAAGTTAAAAGAAAATTAACAGTGCAAAGAAAAAAAATCATTTTCTTCAATATGGGGGTCCAAAGTGGGTTTTTGGCTTTCAAGCCACACATGGATCTTCCAAGAGATACTGAGTTCTCTGAGAGATTTTAAACTAAAAATGAGTTATTGACATTGGGCCAAATCCTTAGCTGATGTAAATGTGCCCCCATTTTAAGTCAATGGCGCTATGCTGATTTACACCAGCTGTGGATCTGGCCCATTATCTTTTCAGTCAGGAACTTCAATTTTAACAGAACTCATCCGAAAGCATGTTCTTTTTCTCTCTCTCTCTCTCTCTCTCTTTCTTACACATCAGCAGATGAAGTCAGTCCTGGGTGTTTTCTTATGTTTCCTTAAATACCGAGAAGACAACAAAAGATATTTAAAACACCATGCACATTGTACTCAATGGGAGGGGAAGGGAAATGTACAGAAATATCCCCTTTCTAGGGATGTATCAACTCACACACCTTCCTGGAAAAGACAAAAGGGCAAGGGCGGGGGGAGGGGGAGAAACTCAAGAGAAAACAGCAGCAGAAGCCTGAGTTGCTGGATTATCTTCCATGTCATATGAAAATACTTTTTCCAAAGTTTGAAAGCGTTTCTTAAGAGCAGCCAGCAGCATATTGAGATTTCCCTCCTCTCCTTTCCAACAACAAAGCAAAGTTCCACCCTCCCTCCCTCTCTCTCTCTTTTCTCTTCTCTTAAAAAAAAAAGTTTTGAGAATTTCACTTTTCTATTCACAGCAGCCCTGGCCAAAGTAAAGCCCTCTTTTACATTGACGTCAAGATCTTTACCAAGATTAGGGTTTCATTTCTGTATTGCAGCAATTAGCCAGGGAATGTATAAAAGGCTTCAGGGAAGCTAGCTAGGACTCCAGAGGGAAAGCACTTTGCACCACAGACAGATAGCGAGAGAGAGGAGGGAGACAGGGACACACAGAGAGAGGGACAGAAAGTTTGTGTACAAAGACCTTAAAAAAAAAGTAGCGTTGCACCTGGTAACACTGGTGACACAGAAAGTAGAGGTCTGCTTAGTGCTTAAATAGCTGAGAGACAATGGGACAGGAGAGGAAAGTGAACGATCTCTGCTTAAATTTCATAATTGCAGGGAAGTAGAAGCACAGCTGCCTCTGTCTTTAACGGACTCAAAAGGGCTATTGGATAAGGGAAACATTTTAGTCTCTGAAAAAGAAAAAGCTGCTCAGAGTTGAATGAATTTCATGCTGAGTTATGGTTTTGACCAGCCTGAGTATATTTAATAATTTCTGCTGCCGTTGAGAGAAGGAGGCGGGAGGTGGAGGGGGCTGATGAGTTTTTTAAAAATGCCTTTCATTTTATTTTATCTTATTTTTTAAATGAGTGTTCAGGGCAAAAAAGGGAGCTGAAGGGAACCCGCTGGAGAGCAGCAGCAGGGAAGATGGGTCTGTTAAGCGTGGATTTGCTGATCGCGCTTCAGATCTTGCCGGTTTTTTTCTCCAATTGCCTCTTTCTTGCACTCTACGACTCTGTGATCCTCCTGAAGCACATGGTGCTGCTCCTGAGTCGCTCTAAGGCGGCGCGTGGCGAGTGGCGAAGAATGCTGACCTCGGAGGGACTACGCTGCGTCTGGAATAGCTTCCTCCTAGATGCCTACAAACAGGTGGGTAGGTGGGAAGGGGATGGAGAGGAGGTGAGAAAAGGCACCCCCGTTCCGGGGGGTCTGTGCGCTCTGCACGGTGTTTCCCCTTTGTGCCCTGCGCTAAACTAGAGTTTGGTTTGGCATTGGGAGAGTGGAAAACAGCTGTTCTTCAGGAGGGTAGGGGATTGGGATTTAAAGACCTTGGTTCTGTGCCCTCCTCTGCCACTGACTCTCTGTGCAATTTAGGGCAAGTCATTTAACCTTTTCCTGCCTCCGTTTTTCTAGCTGTACCGGGAGAATAATGGTACTTATCTTTGTAAAGTGCGTTGAGAGTGTTGGATGAAACATATTATATAAGTGCTGAACATAATTAAATATCTTTGTCAACCATTTAACCAGTGCAATATCATCAGAAGTTATACAAAGATTAGGTCTTTAAATAACATCTCAAGGTGATCTGAATGCCCATGACAGCAAAGGATAAAAATAACCCTATGGCATTATATCATCATTTTTATTCAGCTCATCTGTTCATTTTTGTATTGGGAAGGAAGGCACTGAGACAGTGTGAGTAGGTTTAAAAAAAGAGAGCCCCTTTTCTCTTATGAAGGTGGGGAAAACAGGACATGACAAAGCTTAAAAATAAACTTGTAACCAGCTGAGGGACAGCTGCCTGGTCTTCTTCTTAGCTGCATGCACAATGTGCCTCAAGTGGCACGTGACCAGGATTCATCACTGAATTTGGTCCGCTGGTGATTTTGGTTAATAATGCTAATAGCAGTTACACAACACATGCTCTTTCCAAGTTCCACACAAACATTAACTAATGAGCTTGGATAAAACCCCTGAAAGTAACTGTATCCCCACTTGATAGATTGGGAAACTGAGGCACAGAGACATTACGGATTTTGCTCCAGGTCATCCAGCAAGCAAGGGCTTGTCTATGCAAACGCTTCGTTTGCAGCAAACTGGGACATGAATCTACCCTGCGCTAGCCTACTGAGCACCAAGAGTACATGTGGACCCAGCTACCGCACACTAAAAGTTCCCTAGTGCTCTGTAATCTGCTTCCATTTGAAAGAGGGATAGACAAAAGTGCACTAGGGAACTTTTAGTGTGTGGCAGGAGGGTTCAGGTGGACACTTAGCTTACATCAGGCTAGTGCAGAGTAAATTCACACCATGACTTGCTGTGAACTAAGTATTAATTTACACAAGCTCTACAAAGCAAAACTGGGATTAGAAACCAGAAGTTGCTGTCTCACAGTCTTGTGATCCGTTTATTGGAATTTTCTGTTTTATTAAGATTATTTAAAAACAAAAACCCATCTGATGGACTTAGGTTAACTATCTCTTATATCCTGTCTGAATCATAGTTATTTATCTGCTGAAAAGCATTTCTTGTTGTGCTACCTCTCCTCCCACTACAATAGCATTATATATTTACTCTTAGGTAGAGCTGTAGGGAGTTGCTCATGGTGGTGCTTAGTTACTGATTTAGTTTGATATATGACACCAAGTGCCTGTCCTGAAGCTCTTGGCACATGTACATACTTTTCAATATATAAAATAAATACAAATTACATTAGCTATCCCAACCGCAATCAACCCCTTAACTCACCACAATACAAATCAAATATTTGCAAAATATAATAATTCTAATTACTTCTATCGCACTTTAATCTCCAAAACACTTCAGATATTAACTAAATAAATGTCTCAATGCTCTCGTGAAGTAGGCTGCAAAACATTATTATTCCCATTTTGCTGCGTGGGGAAGTGAGACAGAAAGATGAACATGTGACTTGATCATGGGTACAGAGGAAACCAGTAGCAGAGCTGTGATTAGCACTCATGCATTCCCAGCTCCTAGACTTGGGCTCTGAACACTGTGCCTCGCATTGGGAGAAGGCTCAGACTTTCACTAGCTTCCTGAAGGTGAATGGAAATGTTTTAAAAGTCTCCAAAAACCCTTATATACATGAAAACTCTTTAACTTCTGTAGTAAGTTACATCAACATTCAAATGATGCATAATGCACTTTAAAACAAAGCTATTAAATTACTTCCTTCTTTCCATTCCTGTCAAGACCTGAGTTCATGATTCAATGTTTCCTCATCTGCTACTGATGGCATCACTGACACCTGAAGGAGTGGGTAGCTCTTCACTGTTGTTAGCAAAGAAACTCAAATCTTAACTTCAGGGCTTAGAAGGTAATAAAAAGCCTTTTATTTTACCTTTAAACCGCCTAGAACACATCAACCTTATCATGTAGGGTGATATCCTGGCCCCAGTGAAGTCAATGGCAAAATTCATATTGACTTCAATAGGGCCAGTATTTTACGCCCCCATCTCAAAAGGGGGGGGGGGGGGAATTCCTTCACAGTAGTGATTCTTAAGGAGAGCCTCACAGTGCCTTCACAAAGCACCTGATTGAGTAATCACAGATATCATTGGAAAGATTCCTGTTGACTTCAGTGATGATGAGGCCCAAAAAACACTGAAGATTCCTGACTGTTGTAGAGGCAGAAGTGACAGACTACATTGAAGGTCAATATTAACAGTGAAAGAGGAGTGGGTTGTAAATTGCTTGCATATGAATCTCTGGGAGTCTCCTGCCACTTCTGCAGGGCAGGGGGGAAGCTAGTTAAATAGAAAGCCAATTTGCTCTGGTAGAGTCCAAAGGAGACCAAACTTCTGCGGCTCTGTGGCATAAATGTGAACAAACAATGTAAAACAGTGAAATGCATGAACCTAAAGAGTGTCCAGTAGGGCCTCTCCACAAATGTATATTTTTCCATGTCCTGAAATGGATTTTGCATGTCAGAACCACTTAATTGCTGTATTCCCAAATCCAGCTGGGCAGAGGGGGTAGATGTCAATCGGATTTAAATACATGCCTAACATTAGGCATGTGCTTAACTGTCTTTCTGAATCAGGGCCTTCTTCACTAGTAATAATACTTTGCAGTTACATAGTGCATGTCAAATGAGCATCTCAAAGCATTTTACGAATACTAAGTAAACCCACAAAATCTCTGTGAGGTTCGTAATCTCAATTTTACAGATGGGAAAACTGAGGCACAGATAGTTGAAGTAGACCAAAGCCACACACAAAGGTAGTGGAAGAACCTGGAATGAAACCAAGAGCACCCAGTCCCATATAGTAATAACTCTACCTAGCTGTTATGTAGTGCTCTTCATCAGTAAATCTCAAAGCACTTTAGAAAGGTATCATTTTACAGAGGGAGAAACTTGAGTCAGAGCGAGGTGAAGTGACTTGCTCAAGGTCACCCAGCAGGGCCATTGGTAGAGTTGAGACTAGAACTCAGGTCTCCTGTCTCCCAGCCCAGGACTCTAGCCACTAGACACACTACTTCTCCAAACAAATTAGTTTCCTTTGAAATTTTTTTTAAAAGGCCTTGTTTACAGGGGGAAATTGATTCGCATGGCTATTGTGAAATAAACTAATCCGTAATAGCTATTCTGGAATAGTTCCGTGTGTGGATACTATTCCAGAAGAAAAGTGATTTTATTTCAGAATAATTACTCTGGCTTGGAAGTGCATTAATTTTTGCAGAATAAAGTGACTTGTATTCCAGAATAGCATCTGCATGGGGAGCTATTCTGGAATAGCTATTCAGGTCAATTGCCATGTAGACAAGCACATAATACAGGGGTGGGAAAACTACGGCCTGGGGGCCGCATCCGACTCTTCATACGTTTTAATCTGGCCCTCAAGCTCCTGCCGGGGAGTAGCGTCTGGGGCTTGCCCTGCTCTGGCACTCCAGCTGGGGGCTTGCCCCGCTCCGTGCGTGCCGTGGCTCCGTGCAGCTCCCGGAAGCAGCAGCATGTCCCCCCTCCAGCTCCTATGCGTAGGGGCAGCCAGGGGGCTCTGCACGCTGCCCCCCACCCCAAGTGCCACCCCCACAGCTCCCATTGGCTGCAGGGGCAGCGCCTGCAGATGGGGCAGCGTGCTGAGCCACTTGGCTGCGCCTCTGTGTAGGAACCGGAGAGGGGACATGCTGCTGCTGCTGCTGCTTCCGGGAGCTGCTTCAGGTAAGCGCCACCTGGAGCCTGCACCCTTGACCCTCTCCCATGCCCCAACCCCCTGCCCCTGCCCTGATCCCCCTCCTGCCCTCCGAACCCCTTGGTCCCAGCCCGGAGCACCCTCCTGCACCCCAACCCCCAATTTCGTGAGCATTCATGGCCTGCCATACAATTTCCATACCCAGATGTGGCCCTCGGGCCAAGAAGTTTGCCCACCCCTGACACAGTACATTACACCCATATTTGTGCTTGTTATTCCTGTCTTTCTGACAGGACTTGCTTCTAGTTCTGGAAGATCCCAAATATTGGACCTTAAAACTATGATTTTTTTATGTACAAGAAAACTATTTTAGGTCATTTTAAAAGTCTTTTAAATATTTTAGTTAACATTTTAATCTCCTTTTCTGGACTCATGGACTCATGGACAGCTGAATTCATCATGAATCTAAGGCACATGCTCTTACCATCAGAAGAGTTAAATATAGTTCCAATAATATTTCAATTTCAGTTTTCAATCCTTCTATAACAGGCTTTCTGCATTTCTGTAAGATATGAGGCATATAGAGAATACTTGATGTGGTATGAAATAAATGCTTTATTGTCACTCATATGGATGACCTATATAATTCATTCAGAAGCAATGTAAATATCCCCCAAACTCTCTCTTTCTCTCTGTATATGCATCCAGAGAGATATACATGTTTTCCTAGTAATCATTTCACTCACCACTTCTGTGGGGGAACACAGCTGTTTGTAAACAGCACACAGCAACACTACAGAACAGTTAAGAGTAGAAAGCAGTGTCCAAATAATAAAAAGCACCCTAGGCTTTCTCTGAGATGAAGCTACTTTGCCTAGTCTGCTAGCTCTGTTAACTCCCATTATAATAGTTAACCTTGTTCTAAAGAACCTCTCTTTGCAACACATCTTGTATGTGCAGTCCGTAATTAGGGGTGGTGCAGAGCCATGTTTG